GACTTCGTGTTCCTGAAGGTCTCTCATTGGAAAGGAGTGATTCGATTCAGGAAGAGGGGCAAGTTGGGGCCCCGGTATATTGGGCCTTTCGTGAAATTGCAAGGGTAGGACGGGTGGCCTACCATTTGGAGCTGTCAACGGAGTTGAGATAGATCCACGACATTTCTCATGTGTCGCAATTGAAGAAGTGTATAGCCGATGAGTCAGCAGTGGTTCCACTGGAGAACATTTAGGTGGATGCGAGCCTGAGTTATGCTGAGAGCCCAGTGGCCATCAGGGATCGGAAGATCAAGGTTCTGAGGAACAAGGAGGTACCTCTCGTATTGGTTTAGTGGCAACCCCGGATTGGATCGGAAATGACTTGGGAGTCGGAACATGAGATGCGGGAGCAGCATCCGGAGCTATTTTCAGAGTAAGACTTCGAGGGCGAAGTCTGATTCTAGTGGGGGAGAATTGTAACAGCCCGGAATCTCAAGTATTGTTAAAAATTATATTTTGGGGTGTTTTAAAGGGGGGACTCGGCAAGTTGGAGCCAGACTCGCCGAGTAGGATCGCAGACCTGGTCGCGGGTTCGCGACTGGACTCGACGAGTCAGATAGGGACTCGGCGAGTCTGCGCTGTTTAGCGAAAACCCTAGCCGTTTAGGTTTGGGACGTATAAAGGGGACTTATAGGCCGTCATCGTCCGTCTTTAGCCTACTGAGAAGAACCCTAATCGGTTGTGTGCATCTGGAGCAAGGATTGAAGGCCATTGGTGATCTTGAAGAAGTTATTGTGCAAGGAAGAGAAGGGTTTGGCTAAAGGAACAGCAAGGGAATCAAGTTCTGAGGATTGGGGACACAGAGAGTGCATTATTCAGGTAACAATTCGGATTATAATCTGCTATGTTGATGTGTGCATGGATTTAGGGTTTATGGAACCCTTTTATGGATAGATTGAATGTTACCCTTGTTCCCCAAACGATTGTAACCCTGTATTAGGACCCTTGGAGGTCCAGAATATCCCATGTCTGTGCATTCCCGGGAATTGGTGAAGGTTTTGGATTGAAATCCTTATGCCTTAGGTCAACATGTAAATTATAAGTCTTGGGGTGTATCATGAGCACCTAAATGAAGACCTTATGTAATGGACCAGTCGAGGAAGGCCAGACCTATGAATGGTCAGAGCAGTTATGACCTTAGGAAGCAGTTTGCGCGGCTGCATGGCATGGACTCGCCGAGTCAGATGAGCAGACTCGGCGAGTAGCTTGAAGAATAACTGGGACTCGTCGAGTTGTTCATTAGACTCGGCGAGTGGAGTCGGGGTGGCCCCGCGATTCTTCCAGGAGTAACTCGTCGGGTCAAGGAGGATACTTGACGAGTAGAAGGGAAAACTTAGAGGATTGGAGGACGACTAGACTCGTCGAGTTGCCAGGGGTACTCGTCGAGTCCGGTCGAGTTGACCGTGGACCGTTGACCAGAGTTGACCCATGTGTAATTTCTTAGGGTCAGTTAACGTGGAAGATAAAAGTATTAATAAGAGGTATATGATGTTATAGGGAACTTGTAGCTCGGCGGATCAAGTACGAGGGATTTCAGGAGTTGCTAACTTTCAGTATCCGCGAGGTGAGTCTTCTCACTATACTGTACCCGGAAGGGTTTGACTGTGTGACCGGAAGGTCGGATATGATATGTGTTATAAGTGCTATAAATGGAAAGGTAATTCCTATGCATGCTATGTATGTTTATATGGGCCGGAAGGCAATATGTTATGTGACCGAAAGGTCGGATATGATATATGATATATGTGTTATATGTGTTAGGATAAATGTATTATGTGTTGTGTATGTTTATGGGCCGGAAGGCAATATGTTATGGGCCGGAAGGCAATATGTTATGGGCCGGAAGGCGAATATGTTACGGGCCGGAAGGCGATTATGTTAAGGGCCGGAAGGCGGGTTGTGTTGCGGACCGGAAGGTCAGGGCCTGGAAAGGCGTATATGCGTAAGTTGTATATTGGGGAACTCACTAAGCTTCGTGCTTACAGTGTTTTGTGTTATGTTGTTTTCAGGTTCTTTCAGTAACACGGGATGGCACCGGATCGATTGTACACACCAGAGAGAGAGTCAAATTTTGGAGGATCCTGGTTTTCTATTCAAGTGAAAATGAAACTATGCTTTGTAATTCAATTATGAACGAGATTTTTAACAAGTGTTTTAATATTAAAATGATTATTTTAAATGAAAATTTTGCCTTGAAATTTACGGTGTTACATTGGTAAGAATATCTTTTAAATTAAACAATTAATTTAACCTAATCCTTTAAATCCCCTAGAATTCGAAATTATGGAATGGATATTCAAAATCTTTAATTACCAAATTTAAACATTTAAAGGATAATTACAAGATATGGCAATATCCAAATCCCTAAAATTTAGGATCTAATCATGGGGAAAGAGACAATTTCGAAATTTTAGGGTTAGACAACCCTAAAATCGAAATTTTGGGGCCCAAGAAAAAACGTTTAGGAAATCTTACCAAAAATTTTGAAATCTAGGGTTTAAAAACCCTAATTTCGAAAATCAAGCCTCCAAGGTTTATTAGCCATGAACCCTAGTATGTCAAGTTCATACATTTGAATAAAGCTAATTGAAAACAAAAACCAATGGCTCTGATACCACTGATGGGTTTTATACAAAAAAAAATCTATGTGTACATGCAACCCTAGAGTTGGATCTATGTTTTCACTATTAGTTATACAACTTTATGAACACGAAAGAAACCTGGCATGCTAGTACTATTTTCGAAATCCAAATAGAAGAATAGAATACATACCTTTTGTTGTTATATAGTAATAACAACTAGTTCCTTGAATCTCCTTAGCTCTTGAAAGCAAGTACCACAAGTGTAGTACCTCTAATGGCTCACAAACATACTAGGTGAAAGGATGAATATGGGAGAGAGGAGAGAAGGGTATCTGACCCTAGATTTCATCCCTTTTAGGGTTTTCTAAGGCTTAGACGAAATCTTAGTGCCTTAGAGTGCTATTTATACTTAAGGTTAACTAGGGTTTCAAGGTGTATACCCTAATCCCTTAGCTTAGGGCCTAAGCAAGTCCATGGACTCCTTTCCTTAAGCCCTTGGACGAAAACTCATAGATCCTTCTAGGATTTTCGTTCAAGCCTTAATAAAGGTGATCCAATGGCCCAAAGCCTCAACTATTGAATAATTACAAAATAGCCCCTACACTTTCAGTTAGTTCCTTTAATCCCAAAATTAATTCTAAATTAATTTCTGTTTAAATACTAATTAATGATATGATTCTAAATTAATATATTATTCATATAATATATTAATAAATCGTATTGATAACCTAATTTATTATTCTTAACAATAAACCAGCCTCTCTCCTAAACAATCATTCTATCTAGTCACCAGTATGAAGGCAACCCAAAAGGACTATGCACAATCGGGTCAAGTACATACCAAAATAGTTATGGACTTAGACACTAATCCAACACAAATAAGTAATTTCTATTACAATCACTCACCTTATGTTTAGGTTGATATGTAACAAAATTCATTAAACCACCTCAAAAGCCTTTTAAAAGAAGCCCTTCGATACTTATTTACAAGTATTCGATTGTAATTCACGGGAAAATACACAAGTTGTTGATTATCTCTCTTGATAATTAACGAAGCAATCTTTTCCCGGGGTTTTAACTGCCTTTGTGTCAAATTGAAATTTTGACATCACTGAATATCCAATTTTTTTTTTAAATTGCTTCTCATCTTTGTTCTTTCACACACGACACATACGAAATCCTTGAGGTTATGAGTAGCACCAACTCATGCTGATGATTTCAAGAATATGACAAATGACTTTACTTTGAAACCATAAAGTAAAAGAGCCTTACCTCCATCCGAAGGGTTCCTACGGTTACTATTCTATTGGGGCAAACAATCCAGCCTGTTTGAGGGGACTATTTGAATTATGTGCGAGTTTTGAAGAGATGTGACCGTTACTTTATCACGCATGGTTACTTTTTCATCATCATGACACGATTTTCTCAGTGACACGTCACAGATCATTAAATGTTTTTCCCGCTTTGATTTCAAAATCCAGAGTTACATATAAAAGGGGATTCAAGGGTTCATTATCAGTTCACACTTTAAAATTCCCAAATTTTCTCTGATAAAAATCCAACTCTCAAACCCTAACAATGGAAACTGCTAATCCTGATGCAACATTCTCTCACACCACCGATGATGTAACCTCATTGCCAATAATGAAGATTCAGGGCACAAATTACCAAGTTGAAGCAAACATCTCTCAATATCCTGAAGAACTGAAAATGCTCATCGTTGCTATGAAAAGCTCTGTATTATCAAAAGCCATGTTCAACTCACTCTCTGTTCCTTTTTCACGGTTGTCTCAAGCTGGATCAACAACTACTTACTCTAAAGCTTTGGATGCAGTTTTGTTTAATCTTGTGACTAATAAGAAGGTTAGACTTTCAAAGAAGCTTTTCTGCCAAATTCTTGATATACCTAATTATCCGCCATATGTCACTTTTACATTCCCACAAATTGTTCACATGTTCAATGAAATGGGTCATTGACCCCAATTGGCAAAGATAAGTGATTTCAAGAAGTCAGGACTTCCGAGTGTTTGGAATTTTTTGTTCGACATTTTTCTTAGATGTTTAACTGGAAGAACTGTTGGGTTAGACAAGGGGAGGATGGAAGTTTATGCTATGGTCGCAGGCTTATACTATGATCTTCAAGTTGATTACTCTACTCAATTATGGAAAGAGTTCTTGAAGAGTATTGAGAACACGAATGCTCTTTATGGCATTTCATGTGCTCGATATTGGAGTTTGATTCAACAATATTTTTATGAGAAGGAAGGGATTTTGGTTCCTGCAGATGAAAAAAAGGTTGTGTTCCATGTCTATAGTTGTCCAAAGGATGCAACTGATGATACTGAAGAGTTTCCAGTTGTTCCCCGGATTCTTGATGCGATGCTGAAAAAAGTTGATCCTACCAACACAGTTCTAATCACTTACTTACAAACCACTGATACTTCTATTGAAACTGGGGTTCTTTTGGCAATAGAAGAAGCGAAGAAGACTAAAAGTTCGAAGAAGGTTGCTGCTGAATCTTCTAAGAAATCTGTCAAAGAATCTAAATTTACAAAAAGTCCGAAGAAGTTACCGATTACAGAAGCTGAACCAATCAAACCCGAAGTTGTTATTGCTGATACCCCATCCACTCAAAAGGAAATCATTCCTTTGAAGACTGGTGTTTTTCGAAGAATCAAGATGAAATCAAAACATAAGAGTCGTTCACCTGTAACAAATGTTGTTCGTAAACCACTTGTTTCGCATCAAGGTGTTATCTTTCGTGAGATTCCTGTACCTGATTCACCATGTTCTAAGAAGCGAAGGGCAACTGATATGGCCAAACACATATCAAAGAAGAAGAAGAAGAGTAGGGTGATCATTTCATCAAATTCTACTGCTGATGAAAATGAAACAATTCCAGAAACACCAGAAGCTGATCTTCAGAACGATTCTTCTCATCTTGAGTCAACTGATGTAATGCCTCCCGAAGCTTCGGTTGCCAAGACAGTTTCTGTGGAGGCACGAACTTCTGACATTTTTGTAAACATATCTCATATAGATGAAAATGTCACATTAGGTGAGGATGCTTTGCACACAGGAGACAAAGGTAAACCTTCGGATGTTACCCCATATATTATTGTCTCTTTACCTGCACAACTCACACCTATCATTCCTACTACATCCACAACTGATTCTCCTACCTTTGAAAACATCATCAAACAACCAATTACATCTCTTTTTTGTTCACAATGCACTAATCCACCTACCAAAACTTCACCAATTCAAGATTCTTCTTTCATGGAAACTGAACATGAGTCCGAAGGTTTTGGAGGGACATTTGAAAATCTAGAGTTTGATGAAGAAGAGACTGACTTCCCAGATCACATGCTCATGACAATGAAACAGTTGAAGATATTGAATACAAAACTTAATTCAATTCTTCAATCTCAGGCTGATCTTGGGAGAGGAAATTTAGTGACCAGTCTTGAAGTGGATGGTCTGTTAAAGATGGTTGAAGGGAGGATTTCTTCGAAAGTTTCAGGAATGATAAAGGATTCTGAGTCTTGTCTCCCGGAAAAAATTGATCTTTGTGATCATAGTAATGAGATAGGGGTCAATGCTCAGAAATCTACATTTGAAGGTGATCTGAAGGAATTAAAGTTGGTTGCAAAAGAGAGTGTTGGGTCAAAAATATGGTTTATACTTTGCTTTTCTTGGAAAATATATATTTTTCTGTAATTTTGTGGTTATGTACGGCTGCACATGTGTGTGCGGCCGCACACACGTGTATGGATGTACACTCATGTGCGGCCGCACACACGTGTATGGCTGTACACTCGTGTGCAGCAGGTGGCCCATGTCTCATATATATAGGGTGAGGAGAGAGAAAAAAGAGAGGAGCATGTTCTAGAGAGAAGAATTCTGTGTGTGAGAGAATCTTATATGTTGGAGCATCATTTATATTATTGAATACATCATTAGATTCATCCTAATTCTTTTTCTCCTTCTCTTTTATTTGATCTGACATCATCCGATTGATTGGGATTCTGCACCATCAATTGGATCTGATTGATACACAAGCAATTTTGGGGACTTACAATTGGTATCAGAACAAGGTTGTATCAATCGATTTTCTTAGATCTGGAGCTTATTTGATCTTATTTTGGAAAGATAATTGCGTTTTTGGGTAGATCTCTGAAAAATAAGGGGGTTTCTTCTTTGCATTTTTCATAAAAATGAGTTTTTGATCGAGTTTTGGAGAAAAAAAGGGTAAAAAACATCATTTTTTTTCGCGAAATTGTTGAAGGTGTGCGGCTAGGGAGTGTGCGGCTTGCATTGTGTACACTTAAAAAAAAATTAAAGGAGTTTTTGAGGTTCAAAGGATTCGAACTCGGGACATCAAAGTTATCAAACACGCCTATTACCAATTGATCTACCAAGGAACTTGTAAAACATCTCATTCCTTTTAAACTTAAGGTCTTCCCAGCACAAAATAAATCAAAGGAAATTCAAGGGTTGCAAGATTCGAACCCAAGAGCTCTAATTCACAACATCACGCCTTAACCAACTCACTTGGAGGCTCCTTGTCTCATTTAGGCGAAATTTAAAATATAACTCGTCCTTTTCGCATCTAATTTCGCATGTTGACAAATTCAACCCAAAATTCAATTTCTTTTTATTTTTAAATTCCATTTTCAACCAAAAATTTTAGTTTTTATTTTTGACTTTTATTTTTGATTTTTTTGATCTAAAATTTTGACTTTGACTTTCTCATTTAACTTTTAAATTTTCAAATTTAGCTTTTTGGTTTGACTTTTTAAATTTGACTTTTAAGTTTGACTTTTTAAATTTGACTTTTAAGGTTGACTTTCTCGATTTTTAAATCAAAAGGCAATTAAATAATAATAATAATAATAATAATGAGTTCTTCAAATATCAAGGTCACAGAGGTAAATGAATCCTGTTGTTGTCCATCTTGTGTTAAAACTATTAAATTTTTACGAGAATCAACAGATCTAATCAAGAGAGAGAATGAGGACTTAAAATACGATCGACACACAATTAGGAAGGATCAAAAACCTCAAAAATCACAACTAGAAGCAAAAACCAAAGACTTTAGGAAGCTTCAGGAAGAGTACAACAACAAGTGTGAAAATTACAATCACATTAAACGCAAACTTACTGCTGTAACTAAAGAATTTGACGCTTTGAAAATTAAGTGTGGACAGTCGAGTCATTATTTGAAAAGCAATTAAAATTCAAAGATAATCAAAACAACGGTTTAGGGTATGATTGTGTTCTTCCACCTTTCACTCATAACTACACATCCATCCTATGTCACAGGAAGAAATTGACAAGGAGGCACATCTCCAATATGGGAAACCTATTGCGGTTGTGCCAGAAAAGGGTGAAGTGAATGATTCTAATGATTCTGTTACATGTGCAGGTAAAATAGCAGAAGATGAAAACAAGGAGAAAACTATTGAACAATCCAATGACTCCTTGAACTCTGAATCTGTTGCTTCGAACTTAGTTGCTTCTGATCAACCTGCTGTTGAGAAATACAGGCCTCCAAAACATGCGAAGTCGACGACTTCTTGTAAGTGTGCATGTGGGAACAACCAGAGACAAGGCAAGGACATGCCACCAGAGGCAGGAAGAAACATCTTCATAGTGAAGAAAAAGACTTGTTTTTACTGTGGAACACCAAGACTCATTGCCAGAAATTTTTCCTAATCACGCATATGTTCCCTACTATGCACAAGGCTAGCAGAACACGCCAACACGGAGACATTTCAAAAGAAATCCTTCCAGGTCACGTTCAGAAAATGGTGACTGGAATGCGCAGAAGGCCAAGAATCAAACCCACAAGGCCAAGAATCTGAATCTCAAGGGCAAGAAGGGAATGTCGGCCAAGAAGCCAAATCTAAGAGATGCTCCCGTGAATCCAAAATCAAAGTCATCTGAACGGCCAACTTCGAGTTCAAAATCAAGTGCGGAGGCACCCATCAGATCAAAAAAGAAATGGGTCAAACCTAACTACAAATGGGTTCCAAAGGTTCAATATCCCAAATCAACTAATGACTCTAACGTTTATTCATCTTCTGTTTGTGATAAACAGGATATGTTATGGGAGAGAGTACCATGCAATGATGACAAATGTCGAACCAGTTTCAAGATGGATTGGGTTTCAAAGACCAACTGATCTCGCTCTGTGTCGGAGCAGCTATGGAGGCATATCATCAAAATTCGGTTTGTTGGTAGTGGCTGTTCTAGGCACTTGATAGGGGACATCTCTCAGCTGTGCAAACTTAGAACTTTGTTTGAGAGTATGTCTCCTTTGCAGGAGATAGGAAGAAAGGAACGGATCACACATTGGGGTTTGTGCTTAACGATGTGAAGAATTTTCGGATCTGTTCTGAGTTTATGCGTACTGTTCTCAGACCTTCTGGATGCAAATTTAATCAGTGACTTACGGTTTGAGTTTTCTTCTCTATACTCCTGAGTTTATCTTACTCTGATTCGTTTTAAAGACAATTATTCATTATCTTAATAGTTTTTCGTTAGTAGTTATTATTGTGAAGTCATATCAACAAGTGATAACAGGCAATCTGATTCTGTGTAAAGTACCAAAACTGAATTGTTTAGGCTTTGTGTTCGATGTGATGGTAGGCACGAAGAATTTAATGGGCTTGACTAGGCAAAGATGAACCTAAGAAATCAAATGACTTGACAAATCTTGACCTAGATAGATCCGTTTAGCCTGAAAATACGACGCTCAAATAAGTTGAGCAGGGAGATATACATGAGAATCCACTAGTCACACTAAAGAACCCATGTCTAGAATTGTGGTTTTACTTTTCCTCGATGTACAAATTCTGTCCTTAATTTCGGTATTGACTGGGAGACTAGGGAATTCCAATAAATAGGTCTGTAGAAAATTATTTTCTTTCTTTCTTACTGTTAGTCATATGTTGCTTCCTTTACGTGATTGGAAGAGATCCGACCTGGACTGCAACATATGCAAATCTATTTCTTTGCATATTATATCTATGAAATTCTTCCTATCTGTTAGCCATATATTGTCTCCTTTGTGTGATTAACAATCCGACCTGGCACACAACATATGCAACCTTCTACTTCTCAATCCCTCTAAAACTATAATTAATCATAATCTAAATCTATCCTCTCTATGAATAATAGCATGCTCACCTAAAGTATGGAGTATCTCAGAAGTTCTTGATTATTGGGGTATATCAGGAAGCGGGAAATATGTTCTAGTACATCTAAAACTGAACAATTCTAGATTGTCTGTAGATCTCGCTGCTCAACTTAGGTGGACAACAATATCCTTGGTCGTCATTAGATGAATGGTCCTTAGGAAGTTTTATCTAGGAACTTAGGATCAATCTATCCTGTCACCAATAGCATTCCTAAAATTTGTCACAACTTTTCATGCTTAAGTGGACCGCAATACCGACGATCGACCAGATCTATTCATGAATGGGAAGGTACTGACAAATGGATTAAGACTATCCAACAACTTTGATCCTAGATATTTTTTTTTTTGTTAAATTTGTTCATAGTTTTCCTCTATGCACAAATTTAGGGGGAGAATTACAAAAAAAAAAAATTCAAAAATCAAACAAAAAATAGAAAATAAAAAATAAAAAAATAGTGTTATTTCTGTTTTTGTTTTTTTCAGAAAATATCAGAAATCCAAAAATATTTTTTGTGTGCTAATTTTTCTTTTAGTTTTGTTTTGTCTTGAAAAGTGATTTCAGGTGTAGATGAGACTCGTGGAGACTGTATCGAGATTTTTGAGCAAAAGCTTCATCCGTGATCATCGAAGAATTCTAATTCGAATGAGCAAGAAATGAAGATTATTCTTTCGACATTCAATCCTTCAACCCAGAAGCAAGGTGAAACTCACTTCAAGATTATGTGACGGATTGCATTGAAGCCTCCTCAATTAGTCCGCTGCTATCTATAAACCTATTGAAGTGATGCAGAAGATTCGTTCTCTCTGTTCTCTCTGAAGATTCTCAAGCTGAAAGTGCCATCTTTCATGAATCTCTACAAGAAGCATCCCAACTACTCAGGATGAAGCATTTATTGAAGATTCATATGTTCATCTTGATGCTGTGAAGAATTTGAAGATTGATGCTGAAGCCAAGCTCCTAATGAAGATTAACAAGAAAAGCTAGCTACTTTTTAGGGGGAGTTTGCTAGGTCAATTAGAAAAGAAAGCTATAAACCAAGAGGGAAGATTGGTGGGTCAAAAATATGGTTTATTCTTTGCTTTTCTAGGAAAATATATATTTTTCTGTAATTTTGTGGTTGTGTACGGCTGCACATGTGTGTGCGGCCGCACACCTTGTGTACGGCCGCACACGCGTGTATGGCTATACACTCGTGTCCAGTTGGTGGCCTATGTCTCGTATATATAGGGTGAGGAGAGAGAAAAAAGAGAGGAGCATGTTCTAGAGAGAAGAATTGTGTGTGTGAGAGAATCTTATGTGTTGGAGCATCATTCATATTATTGAATACATCATTAGATTCATCTTAATTCTTTTTCTCCTTCTCTTATATTTGATCTGACATCATCCAATTGATTCGGATTCCGCAACATCAATTGGATCTGGTTCATACACAAGCAATTTTGGGGACTTACAGAGAGGCATGTTTTATTTGTTCAAGATGTGAAGAAAGTCAGAGAAGATGTGAATTATAAAATCCAAGAACTTAGACAAGATATGGAGAAAGAGATTTCAAATGTTTGTACTGAATTTGCATCTCTCAATCAAAAGGTGGACATCATCTGTGATGCAGTTACCAAGTTTGCCAAGTTGTACGAAAGTCTGAGTTAGGAGTGTAAACAAGCCAAGCTACTCGCGAGCTACTCGAGATCGGATCATTAAAATCTCGACTCGAAGCTGATTTTAAACGAGCCCGAGCCAAGCTCGAGCTTAATATTAAGCTTGTTTATTAAATGAGCTCGAGCGCAAGCCTATATCACAAAGCTCGATTAGGCTCGCGAGCCTAAACGAGCCTTTATATAATATTATTTATTATTATTATTATTATTATTATTATTATTATTATTATATATATATATATATATATATATATATATATATATATATATATATATATATATATATATATATATATATATTAAAATAAAAACATATTAGGGAACTTCTGAATTTAGGGTATTAGTAAATGAGCTTTTTAACGAGCTCGAGCCGAGCTTAAGCTTATCTAGGCATGCCAGATAAAAACGAGTCGAGCTCGAGCCCGAGCCGAGCTTGTATAACTCTTTACGAGCTTCGAGACGAGCTCACTA